AAAAAAAAAAAAAGAGAATAAAGTATCACAAGAATGGAGAAGAATCCTATGTACTCAATTCTAATATGAAGCCAGGAGACAATCTAATACACACCCACATGAGAGAAAAACTCAAATCAACTGAAGGTAGGGGGAGGTGGCCAAGGAATAAGAAAGCGGGGAGAGGGGAGGAAGGAGGTGACATGGGTGTGCTCCCACTTAATGGACACAAGATCAGGGTGTATGGCACACCCCTTGGGGGTGGGACACAATTATTAAGAGAGACTTTAACAAATGCAAACACTGTAACCTAATTCTTTGTACCCTCAACCTGAACAAAAAAAAAAACCAAACACTACGGAGTAGCTAATTCAACACATCACCTTAAAATTACCAAGAGTGACATAAAGGGAAAAAAAGAGAGAAGGGCGCTGGTGGCTCAGTGTTTAGAGTGTTAGAGTGCTGGCCCTGTGCACCAGGGCTGGTGGGTTCAAACCTGACCTGGGCTTGCTAAGCAATTAAAAAAGAGAGAGAGAGAGAGAAAGAGAAAAAGTCAGTGCCCACCAGACTCAAGATGACTCAGTTATGGAATCAGAAGAGAATAATTTTAAAGCAGGTATTAGAAACTATGGCTCACAGGTATAACAGAGTACTTGTAATGAATGAAAAAAATAAACACAAGATCTCAACAAAGAAAGAGAAACTATCAGAAAAAACGAAAATGAAATTCTAGAACTGAAAAATATAATCTTTCTTCTTGTGGGGGGAAGGGGAGGGTTTTACTCTGTCACCCTGGGTTGAGTGCTATGGCATCATAACTCACAGCAATCTCAAGCTCTTGGGTTCAAGTGATCCACTTGCCTCAGTTATTTCTTTTCTTTTCTTTTTTTTTTTTTTTGAGACAGGAGCCTCAAGCTTTCCCCCTTACCCCCTGGGTAAAGTGCCATGGCATCACAGCTCACAGCAACCTCCAACTCCTGGGTTCAAGCGAGTCTCCTGCCTCCGCCTTCGGAGTAGCTGGGACCACAGGCACCCGCCACAGTGCCCGGCCAGGTTTTGGTTGCAGCCATCATTGTTGTTTGGTGGGCCTCGGCTGGATTCGAACCCGTCACCTTGGGTGTACATGGCTGGTGCCTTAGCCACTTGAGCCACAGGCGCCAAGTCAGTTTTTTCATTTTTAGTAGAGACAGGACCTTTTTTTTTTTCTTTTTGAGACAGAGTTTCACTCTATCGCCCTTGGTAGAGCACCGTGGCATCACAGCTCACAGAAACCTCCCAATCCTGGGCTTAAGCAATTCTCTTACCTCAGCCTCCCACCACTCCCACCCCCAGTAGCTGGAACTACAGGTGCCCACCATAATGCCTAGCTATTTCTGGTGCAGTTTGGCCAAGGCCCGGTTTGAACCCACCACCCTTGGTATATGGGGCTAGCGCCTCACCCACTGAGCCACAGGTGCTGCCCTAGAGACAGAGTCTTGCTCTCACTCACACTCAGGCTGGTCTCAGGGCCCCACCACAAAAAATATAATTTTTAAAATAAGAAAATCACCTGGATGTGGTGACTCACACTTGTAATCCTAGCACTCTGGGAAGCCAAAGAGGGTAGATTACTTAAGCTCATGAGTTCAAGACCAGTCCAAGCAAGAGCAAGACTCCATCTCTAGCCAGGCATGGTGGCTCATGCCTATAATCCCAGCACTCTGGGAGGCCAAAGCAGGCAGACTGCCTGAGCTCACAAGTTGGAGCTAGACAGCCTGAGCTAGAGCAAGACCCTGTCTGTAAAAATAGCCAGGCGCTGTGGCAAGTGCCTGTAGTCCCAGCTACTTGGAAGACTGAGGCAAGAGAATCGCTTGAGCCCAAGGGTCTGAGGTTGCTGTGAGGTATGACACCACAGCTCTCTACCAGGGGGCAACAAAGTGAGACTATGTCTCCAAAAAAAAAAAAGAAGAAGAAAAAAAAGATCCCCATCTCTACTAAAAGTTGAAAAACTAGCCATCATTGTGGGTGCCTACAGTCCCAGCTACTCAAGAGGCTGAGGCAAGAGGATCACTTGAGCCCAGGAATTTGAGATTGATTGCTGTGAGCTAAGATGATGCCATGACACTCTACCCAGGGCAACAGAGTAAGACTCTCTGTTATCAAAAAAAAAAAATGCACCAATTGGGATTAACAGTAAAGTGGAGGTAAAAAAGAAAAATCAGTGAACATGACAGATTAACAGAATAGAAAAAAATAAATACGGACTCAGGGACTTGAGGTACAACATACCAAAAGGTCTAACACATGTATAATTCAATTACTACAAAGCACAAAAGAAAGGAATAAATTTTACTTCACGGGTAGCAAAAAGAATAAACCTGCTTACAAGGTGGCATCAATCATCAACGATTGTGAAGAATGTGAAAAAAGCAGCCTTTCCAAATGAGTTTCAAATTTCAAGTAGAAATGTAATCTGTATCATTATAACCTTAACTGATAGCACCTTTACGACTTTAAGAACACCAGGTCCTTAACCAATGCTTTTGCATTTTAATGCCTCTAATTCTGCACGTAAGCAATGTTTACTAATTCAGAGTAATATGAGGGTACATGCACTTAGGGTATATTGTTGGCATTTGTTAGGTAGAATCCAAATTAATGTTTCCAAATGAATTAGTATTATTTAAGTAGCTCTTGTTTACAAGACAATGTTACAAAAAACTTTAAGAAATAGTCTGAAGAATCAACAATCATACTACAGCAAGAGACGTGTTAAAACTACAAAAAGATGAGCAGTGCCTATGGCTCAGTGGGTAGGGCACTGGCCCCATATACCAAGGGTGGCGGGTTCAAACCTGACCCCAGCCAAACTGCAACAAAAAAAAAAATAGCCAGGCATTGTGGCAGATACTTGTAGTCCCAGCTACTTGGGAGACTGAGGCAAAAGAATCACCTAAGCCCAAGAGCTGGAGGTTGCACTCTCGGCACTCTACCGAGAGCAACAAAGTCAGACTCTGTCTCTAACAACAACAACAAAAATTACAAAGATGTCTACCCTTTTCCTGCTTTGTGGCACAAGACAAATTCTAATCTTCCAGTGGCTCCCTACAACCTCATGAATATATGATAAAGACTTAAAAAAATTTTTAAATGCGTGATCTTCTCTAGACCAAGAAGACATTATTAATTCAAATTACATTAAGACAGAGAAAGGAAGGAGAGATTACCTTGACGGCTTTCTGGGAATTGGGCAATCCTTCTTCTATGTCTTCTAAAAGAATCCCTCCTAATCCTCGCTGGTCATGCTGGTCTAGGAGCCTAAGCAGGGCCTTCTTATCTTTCAAGTTGTACTTAGGCTTGAAAGCATACTTCCCATCTATTACTTCAATTTTGGGATTGTTGACTAATGCCTGTAACAGTGATGCAATTTAGATATGTTAACAAAAGAAAAGTTCATATATATGTACTTAAATTCTACCGATTACCTAAGAAATATAACACTACCCAACACAAGGGCAAATGAAAATTATCTTGTGTATATAAACTACCAGATCTAAAATACTGGGCATCCAGGATCCCAGAACAGTAGGTAAAAAACAACATGGTGCTCACTTTTTATAGAAGATACTATTTTTTTTTTTTTTGAGAGGGAGCCTCAAGCTATCCCCCTGGGCAGAGTGCCGTGGCATCACGCTCACAGCAACCTCCAACTCCTGGGCTCAAGCGAGTCTCCTGCCTCAGCCTCGCAAGTAGCTGGGACTACAGGCGCCCACTACAACGCCTGGCCATTTTTTGGTTGCAGCCATCATTGTTGTTTGGCGGGTCCGGGCTGGGGATTCGAACCTGCCATCTTAGGTGTATGTGGCTGGCACCTTAGCCACTTGAGCCACAGGCGCCGAGCTGAAGATACTATTTTTTATTTACATAAATTCTTTGAACAGAAATAAATAATTTCTATTACAACTGCTTGGGAAAAAGCTGAATCCACATTCTTTTGGAAGACAAGATAGCTAAGAATTAAAAAAAACAGGCTTGGCACCCGTAGGTTGCTTAGTGGTTAGGGCTGAGGCAAGCAGGTTTAAACCCATCTGGGCCTGCCGAACAACAATTACAACAACAACAACAAAAATAGCTGAGGGTCAGTGCCTGTGGCTCAAGTAGCTAAGGTGCCAGCCACATACACCTAAGGTGGTAGG